AAAATCTTTATTTTTAGGACTGATTCGCAGGTAGCATACCATTTTGGCTCACGGCTTATTGTAAAAAGGACTACTTTTAAGTTCTTACGCCAGAACTTCCGCTTTCTGAAAGAAAAAGTTCTTTATGTAGAAATGTTTTTTTACAGGACAAGATCTTCATATTTATTTCTGAAATCGATTTTTAATGTCGAAAAGATGTAGAAAACTAGGTGGCTAAATATGGAAGTGGAAATTATAAGTAATTAATATTTTGGAAACGTTGTGAGCTGCTTTCTACATAAATAGAGTTACCTCCCCTACACCCTGGAACTAATAAAACCCTGAACTGCTTTGGGAAGGCATAATTACAGGGCGGATCCAGAAGGGGGACCTGTCCCCCCCCCCCCATCTACATAACAAATTTGTAAAATAATGCTTTTTATGCAGTGTGATCCTATTAATTCATAATAGAAATGGACTCAAACGGGTTGTTGGATTTCTCTCTTTAAAAAGCTTAGTGGGTATGTACATACACCAAATTGGCGATAGAGACCATATGTATTTCTCAAGAAGTTTCAGGAACCAGCCCCCCCCCCTGAAAAAATTCCTGGATCCGCCCCTGAATTAGCAGGAGACAATTTTAATTGTATTCCGTGGCATTATTGGTCTTGCCTCCGCACAACATTCGGCCAATCTGATTATTCTGCCAGACGGGTAAAGTGGGAAAAAAATTAATATATTGTTTTTTGGGAAGTGCCTGAAATCCAATGACTTTTACTTGATAATAAAACAAAAAAACTAAGCTTACTTTCTTTTAATTGACGAATAGGTCTACCGCGAAGCTGTACTAAACTTACTATAGATTAAAACATTTTGTCTGGAGACAGTCTACTAAGTGCAACATTTTTCGTGCATTGACCATTATTAATTTGTTTCATCCTATTTCGGGAATCATTTTAAAGTGAGTTAGCCTATGATTAAAATTTAAAACCATTTAAAATCAGTGTAATAAACAGTATGCCTATCTTGAGTAGTCACTCAGCTTTATGATGCGCGAATGTTCTTCGGGCATAATCATTAAATTGTTTCGGTGCTGGCGGGCCACCGACTCCGCAGGTCCCGGCTTTGCGTGGACTCCAGTATAAAGAGACTGTTCCGAACGGAACTATGGTTTCGGTTACAAAACCACATAAATAAGGCTATATAGGTATTTAAAACCATTCAAATTGCTGCAGATGTACTGTAGGGAGAGAGAGAGAAATAGGGTTTAACGTCCACTCGACACAAAGTAGGTCATTTCAGGACTAACATATGATTTAATTTTATTTCAATAATTCGCTTGCGCGTGGGAGGAAACCGGAGGACCCGGAGAAAACCCACGAGGTTGGACAGGCGACCCTACTCCTTGTCACGTACAACCGGGGATTCGAAACCACGCCAGTCGACTCAATGACAGACTTTATGATACAGCGCGCACGCTAACCATTCAGCCATCCACCCCCCCCCCCCCTGTACTGTAGGATAGTCCAGTTGCCAAACTCCATTTTAAGCCTTAACGTGGAAATATAGTCCACCTAATGTTTTTTGGTGGATTATATATTAAGAATCCGGATGATGCCACCCTGGCACCCTTGGGGAAATTTAAATATTCAAGATGGCAGCCATGAGGCATTGCCTAGTTATTTAGTGGGGTAAAATATGTGACAGATTCCCTCGGACCTCCTCGGTTTGAATATGGGTTTTATAAGAATTAGACCCACTGAATCCAATGAACTTTGGTATTCTTCCTATAAAAGCTGTCTAATTCCACTAGGGGGCCAAATTCAAAATGAAGACTCATTTTTGGGGGAAACTCATAAAGTCCCTCCGAAAAGCTGTGCAATATATTAAACTATAGGTAGGGTGACCCACGCACCTACAGAAATACAGTCAACCGCTGATAGTTTGAGACTACCACTGAAGCGTGCACATTCGCCGTGTCGAGGCCAACTTTCTGACAGTATGATACTATAAATAGCCATGGCACGTGCAATTCTCTACAAATCTATCAACTATTACAGCCGTAAAAAAATTATTGTTGACGATTTTGAATAGCAGTAAAATTAAGCTTCTTGGTTATTACAGCAGATTTAGAAATTACGTTCGTTTCATTTTTTAAATCGCTTTATCATTAACTGTACCGTTAAGAGCGGCATCGTTTGGTTTAGTACAAATAATATCTCAGAAACACTCGGGTTAGACAGGAACATGATACTAGCAGTAGTTTCATTTTACTTTTACAAGCTTCTTAAAACAATTGTTGAGCTAGCTAACGTGCTCATTTCTAAATTCAATTTCTTGTTCTAGCTTTCTGTTATGTTTCGTAAAAAAGTAGTCTTGATTTTCCCGACCTGTCAATCAGCCCTAGAATGGTCGATAGACTGGTTAAGCGAGACTAATTTCAAAACAAGGGCATGTAACCTATCTTTTACTCAAAAGTGTCTGGATGTTATGGACGACACATGGAACCAGTTTTCAGTCTATTATTTATAGATGATTAATGGTCACAGCTTATTAAGTACAACATGATCGTTTATTTAGTGACTATAATTGTGTGAAACTGATTTGAGGCTTGGCATATATATAAATATTGTGGCGAAATTGTCGAGATATATGGAGATATTTATTTATGGTGGGTCACCCTACTTTACTTTAGATATAAACATAAAAACATGTTCCGACAAAAAAGTATTCCAGGTTGAGCTTACATTCAAAATGGTGGCCATATTTGGCAAGACATAACAATATTTGTAATGTATTAAACTATAGGTTTTCGGGTTCGCCGAATTCATATCTGAATGGTGAAATGTCGACCGAACGAAACGCCAATATGGTTCCCAAATTCAACAAAATAACTAAATTTAGTAGACCATGGAAGATAATAGAACCGTTATGTATCACAGGACAAAGAGCACAAATTACAGAGCCATGCGAACAGAAGCTACGGAGAGCGAATTGGCAAGCATAAATCATGATCCACTAATGGCACCCGTCCGTGTCACCTTCTCTACTAGAAAACAGAGTGGAATAAGGGATGGAAAATGTTTGTCAGCGTAATACAAACTCCAGCTTTACCGGCGCGTATGAATGACCAAATTAACTTGCAAGACAAATGTCATCCCCGTTGCGGATGGAATGGGAAGAATCAGACCGTTCTACCGATTGCGAGTATTCCAGTGATTTAAGAGAGGGTGAGTTAGACAAATACCCGAGGTTACACAAGAGAAATATGTGAACCCCAGTTAGCTATTAGAAACATTTGCTTTCAATGCACGATGGTCCTATACTTGATTGTGTTTGACCGTGTCTACTTTGTGTCCTTATCAGAATATAAGTGGAAGAATATCATCGGGTTGGAACACCATTTGATTGAACCTTTATTTGTTTATATCTGAAGAATTTGACAACGAAAACCTATATATCAGTGTATTGCACACCGTATTAGGGATCATTATGAGTTTATCTCAAAAAACGAGCCACAATTCACCTAATGAACATCTACATCAGGTTTAAACATTCTACCTCATTTAAAAAGCAGAGTTTTTATGTTTCAAAGTCTTGACCAATCAAATTGCTTATCGCTCCATAGCCCAGACAGAAAATTCGCACAATCGAACTAAGTCAAGGTAATGATATAATGAATCTATATTCAGAGTTTCATCGCTCCCACTTCATTATAACCGAAGTTATCGTGCCCCTAAAGCATCAACCAATCAGATTGCTTATCTCTGCTTACCGTAAGCAGACAATGTTCATCATCGAACTCCATCACTGGATTTACCTAATGAATGCCTACACCAAGTTTGAACATTCTACCTCAATTAGAAGGAGAGTTATTGTGTTCCAAAGTCTCGACCAATCAAATTGCTTATCGCTCTACTTACCCTCAGTAGAAAATGTTCATTATCGAACTTAGTCAAAGTATTGATGTAATAAAGCTATACACCAAGTGTCCTCAATCTCACTTAATTAGAACTAAAGTTATCGCGTCCCAAAGCATCAACCAATCAAATTGCTTATCTCTGCTTACCCTTAGCAGAAAATGCTCATCTTCGAACTCCATCAAGGCATTGACCCAATAAACACCTACACCACGTTTGAGCATTCTAGCTCAATTAGAAGGAGGGTTATTGTGTTCCAAAATCTTGGCCAATCAAATTGCTTATCGCTCTGCTTACCCTGAGTAGAAAATGCTTATTATCAAACTTAGTCAAGGTATTGATGTAATGAAACTATACACCAAGTTTCATCACTCTCATTTAATTAGAACTAAAGTTATCGTGTCCCAAAGCATCAACCAATCAAATTGCTTATCTCGGCTTACCCTAAGCAGAAAAGGCTCATCTTCGAACTCCATCAAGGTATTGACCTAATAAACACCTACACCAAGTTTGAACATTCTAGCTCAATTAGAAAGGGAGTTATTGTGTCCCAAAAAGTGTTACGGACAGACAGACAGACCAATGAAAGGCGGGGGACAATAACCAGAAAATGCCTCATGACGGCCATCTTGAATTTTCTAATTTCCTCAAGGATGTTGGGTGGCATCAACTGGATTCTGAAACTACACATATTGAATATATAATACACCGAAAACCTATATTTCAATATATTAAACACCTTTTTAGAGAGCTTTATAAGTCTCCTGCCAAAATATGCCACCATTGGGGTGGGACACCTTTATTTCTGGAATAGCCCTCAGGTCCACAAATAACTGTGCTTAATTTATCTATATAAAATAAAAATGTCTGTGTGTGTGCATCCATCACGCTTCATCGCAATGATTCACCCCCACATATTAACCAGCAGAACCCTGTGAATGTTTTAGGCATCAAATTTGGGCATCGGGCAAATCAGACTTAGTCACTGAACTCCACCCCCACATATGTGGTATCAAATTAACAAACATGAATGTTTTAGGCCATCGAATTTGGGCCCCGGGTATCCTGCTAGTGTACAATAAATGCAAATCATATCTTATTTTTCTATTTCATTTATTATTTTTTTTTTAAGATCAAATTTTGCATCTTTTTTTTTTATCAAAATATTTTATACATTATTGACTTTATTATATACAGGTATTTTTTTTTTCAATATATAAATACATGATTTTATATTCAACATCATTACACAAATATGGAAATTCAGTGATGTACATGTCCTACCCATGTTGATTTAACATACATAATAAATATGTATACCTTTTTAACATGAGCCAGAAAACAATATTTTGTCAGATTTTTTTCCATTCTTAGTAAACTTTATACTAATTCTATCAAATGTATTATCTGACCTAAAATTAAAAGAGACATTAGCACTTTCTTTTTGGTATTAATTAACTATACATTACACTGTATTGTGGGTGTGCAAATTAGATTGTATGCAACTTTTGCCAAATCCTAGATCTTAAAAGTGGTACACATATTTAATATACATATAAATCCTATTCAAAATATCAAACTCTTAGAAGGTCAGTGCTTAGATTTTCAGTAATACAGTACATGATTATATTTCTGAGGGTCATTTTCAAAATTGATTACATTTATTTTCTTGGTGAATGTGATAATGCATCTTACATGTATATGAATCTTTCTTTTTAACAATACAAAGATTGACACTTGCTAAAAGCAGATAAATCATCATATACTGAGACGCAATGAAAACCCTCCACTGATTTGACTAGAAGTGCTGTGGAGAAATAATGCAGCTGAATTGTGATTTTTGGCATGCTTAATGGATATTTACTGACACAAGAAAATCAACAACCCATGGAGGTAAAAAGGGGTAAAAATGAACAATCAGTGATGTATCTGTCATAACAGCTGTACATGGCTAAGAGATAAATCTCTAAATGGCTGGATGTTGGATTATTATAGGTGTGCCTAGTATCATTATCTGTGTGGTTGTATCATTAGTTTCTAGCTAATTAACGTGATATGCTCTTGCATGTACTATCTGAAGTAAAATGTAACATATTTCTTTTTTTATTTTAAATTAATTAAGCATCTGGATTGTTGCAACTTACTTTATTGAATTTATGATATATTTCGTAGCAGTTGTTTAAATGTCTGACCGTGTAACGAAGTATGTAATAAAAACGGTGTAAATAAACTGACTTAAATTTCACATTCAATATAGTATAGAAAATGTTAGGCACCAAATGAAAATTACAGACATTTTACAATCCAATCCAATCACAATATATGTAATATAAATAATTTTTGCAATGTAAAATAAGTTTAAATTTTGCTTATCAAATCTGTAAAATCACATTTTTTCTTAGAAATGGCACCTAAAAGATTTCTCACCCAACACTCCCCTTACCACTTCCCATGACCAATTTCAATAATATAGTTTATAAATGATTGTATTTCACTCAAGCCCTCATTTTAACGTCGCCTATGTTCACGTGATCTTTGTGGACTCTGTTCATATCTCAAATTTTTAGAACGTTTTTTATAAACGCTTGCTGCCTCTTCATCAGAAGAGTTATCGTACCGTCTTTTACGAGGGGAATAGTCTATATTTTCTTTATTGTGATTATAATAACTACGCTCTCGATCATCTTGGTGGGAATTCTTTCTTCGACTGTCTTCATAATATTCATCTTCGTTCATTTCTCGCTTGATACGTTTATAATTACCATCACCATAGCGATCAATGTCAACACTGCGTTCACGGCCATAATCGTCCTCGCGACTTCTTTTAGAATATTCAGCACTTCCTTGCCTATTTCTTTCAAAACTAGAATAATTTTCTCTATCTTGTCTGTTTCGATCTAAATCTGAATAATCATTTCGACTTTGTTTTTTTCGATCTGAATTTGGGTTATCACTATTTTGTCTTTTTCGATCTGAATTTGAGTTATCACTATTTTGTCTTTTTCGATCTGAATTTGAATACTCTGCACTATTTTGATGTTTTTTATGTGATTTTCGTGATTTTTCACTATCTCTGTGCCTGTCACTATCCTCATCTCGTTCTTTTTCTCGGTATCTTTCACTACTTTTTTCACTCACTCTCTGATAATTATCCCCATATTCCTCGTCAATTTCTTTACGACTTTTGTCTCGCTTATTTTTACTTTTGTGTGCCTTTTCAAGATCTCTTTCATATTCTTGCTCTATCTCTCTACCACGTTCGCGTCTATGCTGATTATTGCGATTACTCTGTCTCTCCCACGGATCTGTATAGGCATCCCCGTTATTTCTAGTTGAAGCAGGTTTTCGATAATTTTTTACAGTATCTTTATCTTTCACACTCTCTTTTTCTGATTTTTTTTTACTTTCCTTTTCTTTCTTCTTTCGAAGCTTTTTCTTCCTTTCTGCATCTGATTCATCTGACGAGGAACTCTCAGAATCTAAAAGTCAGAAAGACAAAAAAAACAAATCAAATATTTTTTAGCTATAAATATGTCAATATGAGAATTTAACAAATATTTTTGTCAAAGATTTCAATAAAATATATTTTGAACTTTCAAAGATGCAAAATAAAAGTAAATGAAATGAGGTTTGGAGTCCTAATTTTTGTAACAAACTAGACTAATGAAGACTGGCATGCACTATGCAGTGGATTATGAAAAAAATTTCTTCTAAACAGTGTGGCGTTTTCCCCTACTCATCATCGAATTCCCAAACAAATACATTGTCTTCTACGGGCACACCAAGGAGTACTCAAGTGGACGTCAAGTTTTTCAATCCGTTCGAAGTCTATCCACTTTTCCATGCCAGGACATATTCTCCTGCATCAGTGACTGACAAAAAAATGCAAAATAAACCCCAGGATCTCTCCATCCCCCCTAAAAAAAACCACTGATATTCATTTTTAATAAATGATTTACCAGAGTCTACACCACTTGAACTGGACGATGATGATGATGAGTCAGAACTATCTGAACTATCTGAAGATTCATTGTCTTCTTTCTCTTGTTCAGCTTCTTTCTTCTCCATTATCTGTTTAGTGACATCCTTCAGATGATTCCTTAAATCTTCACTAAAATCAACATAGAATAATCATTACTTTATAATTGCCATTTTTAACCAGCGGCTGCCAGGCAGGATACGCCCACATTTTCGAGAGATGGATAGAGAACAAGCTAACAAGAAAGTGATTTTTCCTACAATCAAGGGCCATAATTCAGGAAATTACAATTCGATATGCGCATATATCGAAAGGAACTGAACGAACGGCAGCCATTTTGTCTGTCAATTTTGGGCCGATTTTCACGAAATTCGAACTCAGTCGTCCTCAGGGTGTAACGGTGATATAATAATACGGTTTTTTAAATCGGATAAAAATTATGACCTCTATAGGATCCACAAGCTAAAAACGCAATTTTTTGTACAATCAGGGGCCATAATTCAGGAAGTTACGGTCCGATATGTGCGAATATCGAAAGGAACCAAGATCTTTGGGTTATAAACTTACATTTCAAGTTTCAACAAAATCGGATAAAAATTGTGACCTCTATAGGGTCCACAACCTTGATATAACATATTCTTATGCTATTCCAGAACAAACGGCGGCCATTTTGTCTGTCAATTTTGGGCCGATTTTCACGAAATTCAAACTCAGTCGTCCTTAGGGTGTAACAGTGATATAATAATACGGTTTTTTAAATCGGATAAAAATTATGACCTCTATAGGGTCCACAAGCCAAAAAACGCGTTTTTGCGTACAATCAGGGGCCATAATTCATGAAGTTATGGTCCGATATGCGCGAATATCAAAAGGAATCGAGATCTTTGTGTTATAAACTTACATTTCAAGTTTCAACAAAATCGGATAAAAATTGTGACCTCTATAGGGTCCACAACCTTGATATACCATATTTTTACGCTATTTGAGAACGAACGGCGGCCATTTTGTGCCGATTTTCACGAAATTCGAACTCAACCGTCCTTAGGGTTTAGCGGTGATATAATAATACGTTTTTTTAAATCGGATAAAAATTATGACCTCAAAAGGGTCCACAAGGCTAAAAACGTGTTTTTACGTACAATCAGGGGCCATAATTCAGGAAGTTACGGTCCGATATGCGCGAATATCGAAAGGAACCGAGATCTTTGGGTTATAAACTTACATTTCAAGTTTCAACAAAATCGGATAAAAATTGTGACCTCTACAGTGTTCACAAGCCAAAAACGTGATTTTTCGTACAATCGGGGGCCATAATCCATGAAGTTACGGTCCGATAGATGCCAATATCGAAAGGAACCGAGATCTTAGGGTGATAAAGCTATATTTTAAGTTTCATTGAAATCGGATAAAAATTGTGACCTGTAGACTGTTCACAAACAATTGTGGACGGACGGACAGGGGCGACGACAATATACGTCCACATGAAAATGTGGGCGTATAAAAATAGCTAATAAACATATAAATAAACTACATGAAATAAACAGGTTTCATCTTCCAATTAACATCAATTTCAAAATTTTTATATACTAATTCCTTGGTCTAAGCAAAGTCTTAGTATATTAGGAAAACCTCTTCAAATGGCCATCAATTGATCTGTTTTAATAATCATTTGACTGAAGCATAGATTCAGGAAGGGGGGAGGGGACTGGGATATTCCCTGTACACTGAGCTGTGAGCCAAAATTGGATTGATTTAACATCTCAACATTCGCCCTTCTAATTGACCGATTTCTAGTAAATGATTTTTAACGTGTGGATAAAGCAGGCAGCTCCAAGATTTGCCTATAAGCCTAGTCTTTGCATTTTATATATTGTCTTCGATGAAGATTTTGTATTTACTGATGACGTTTAAAAAATGTCAACTTACGTTAAACCACCTAAACCTATGGTTGTAAAGAAATTTATAGCGAAGCGAGTATTTTTAGGATTATCACGTGGCATAATTCCTTCAAAATATGGCTGTAAAGTGCTGAAATTAGAAAGATAAATTATTACAAGAAATAACAAAAAATAATTGATACAAGTCATTCTTTATTTGGCTGACATATCTTCTTATTCCATTTAACGAATGAAAGAGCCAAGATTATATTTTATTATTAAAGATTTGGTTTTCATTTACAGATTCAAATTAGTGACTCAAAATGGGTAAATTTATTTAATCATTTTTCAAATAAAAGCTATTAAGTTATCACTGCAAAGCTCTATCTACATACTAAAGGAAAAGACACAAAAAACATTTTCTTACGAATCTTTAAATCTGTCATTTAGTTTTGGAAGTCCCATATATTCTGATAATTCTTGAAACAGTAATTTGATAAAAATACGACTGGCTGAAGTTGTATCTTCTTCATTAATACTAATACAGCACAATACCTGAAAATACAAATGTTCTTTTATATTACAGAGAAAATAAAATAAATTCTACAGCGATAATATAAATTCTACGGTCAGGGCCTAAAAATCAACAATTTTAGAATCGATTAATATGTTTCAAGCCAGAGGGAAATTAGCAATCATAGAGATCATCTTTGGAACAACTCTAGCTGTTCCATAAACTTTGGTTCTTTAAAGCCATGTACATTTAAGCTTCTGTTTTATTCTAACAACCAACACATAATACTTACCCCCCAGCTAATGGCATCTGTATAAAGCAGGTGAGCAAAGAATTTGGCAACGTTTCGTAATTTGCTTGTCTCTAAACGATGTATTGTTTCATACTGTTCTTTGAAAATAATCTGAAATGGCTCCACATATTTTTTATCCATCTGACAAAATCTCTGAAAATAAATTAAATGAATACATATTTTGATGTAGTCTTTAAAAAATGTAATACTAAAAGGTAGGCATGTAGCCTTATAAACTCTGTCTAGGTCAATTAAAATATTAATTAGGTGTAGCAAGTAGCAACTGGTTTCCAATGGATAAGCAAAACTTTTGTTTTGTCTCCATTTATATATATAAAAAAAAGCATAAAACATATAAAAGTTCAAAATAGAAAACAGTCACACGTTCATACCTGAGCTAAAAGGCCGAAGAATTTTTCGTATGTCCTGAGTTGGGAACAACAATCTAATATCATATTACACAGCTCCACCTGGTAATAGAAGAAAAAAAAAATCTCATGAGACAATTGGATACATTAAGAAATTGCATAGAAGTATTATATTTAACCTTGTTAACTTGGGTACAAAAAAATATCTATAAAAAGGGGGGAGGAGTTGGAGTAGCATCCACTACCCAAACACCTGTGTAGTCTGATGAGGGGACAAATCCAACTCTCTAAACTATTTGACAATTCTTTCTTAGCTAAATTTTTGAAAATTAAAATAATCATCTCCTGTATAGAAAAGAAACCAAAGTTACCAAAAATAAAGATTTAAAATCTACCTCTTGACCCGGTTTCAGATCCATTTTAAGAAGTTTATGAGCACATTCCTCATAATGTAAACTAGATTGTATAGTCAGATATATAGTACGTCGTAACACCACCATATTGGTTTCTGTTGTATCTATAATTGTCTGTTTAGCTTCAGCATCTACAATGTACATAATATTACATGAAATAACATAAACAATCAAAATATAAATGCGACTTGGTGAACACAATTGTATGGGAAACAATCATGCGTTTATTAAATACATGAGATTTCGTTATCATGCTATCAAGCACAATGGGACTGGTACTTCTTGAAACATCTGATGCCATGTTTTATTTGGTTGTCATGGTTAACAAACTATTACACTTTGTTGTATAGCCTTAAGTCACAAGATTATTTGGATAATAAGAAAACAAGTACGATTGTACTATGGACCAGGAATTGATCATGTTGGATGAAATTCAAATATCTAATTCACCAAATCAAAGCAGAATTGTTCAAAGAAGAAGCATGCTAATTGTAATATCGAGTAGACTTGAATTGACAAAGCCTTAGGGTTTTTTGAAGAGCGTCACTCCAAGAAGAACAAGAACCAGTTGAATAGTGTTTAGCGGCCAGTTATTGGTCCATAATAATGGTATCATTCATATACTCTTTCTATAACATTGATACTGTTAGTTATATTACATACCTTCATTTTCCGAGTCACTGTCACTTGAACTATCTGATCCAGATTTATCTGCAGATCCATCATCAGAACTACTTTCTTCTAAAATACCTAGATTATAAGAAATAAAATTGTAAACAATATTATATTGCTTTAATGTTTGGTTTTTAATCCATCTAAGGAGTTAAATAATTACTATCAACCCAGGAATTAAGGTTTACTTATATTAATGTACAGTTCCATACTCGAATTCAATTCTCAAGAACATCGTAACTTGACCCTGGTGTAGACTAACCTTCTCCTCAACACAATAATTAAATATGCAATGCAAATTTGGAATTTTGTAGGAAATGAATCGTTTCTAATGGCTAAATGTTTATTTTAATAATGTTACATTCGCATCGATGTGTATGCAGACTTTCGTTTTCTGTCCCATACAAAACACCAGGCAAACTGAGAATCAAACATTTTACATTCTAATACCCTATCACTATCTCTTACTAAGCCTCCTCAGACTGGGCAATATTTCAGTTTTTCAATATAGAACCGTCAAAAAAACCATCTTCAGAAAAATGTTGAAAAACCAAACATACCATAATTTGATTTCTCTGGATGATATTTAGCATAAAAATTGGAAAAAGTTATTTTATTGCTTTTTCCACCAGACCGGTACTGATAGAATCACCACTGCTTCTGTTCAATTTTCTATGTATCTTGATGAATTGTGTATACCGATGCTTTGTTTTTTCAAAGGAATCATTGTTTTCCTTATTGAAATAAATTTTAATAAGGCCGAAATATAAATATTGCCGATTTCATCTAGATTATCAGTAGACTGATTATGATGTGTGATGGTGGTCCGTGATCCGATAAATTGCTATTTGACTTAGTTAATGGACCTTTCTTTAGGCAACACTGACGTTTTACAGTTTAATTTAGTGTTCTTGTATTGTAAATGTAACATTAATTTTCAAATTAATTTTGCTTGAATTAGAAAAACAAGTCTGTGTGGGTAAATGAATTCATATCCTCCAACCGTAGCTTTCTATAAACACGCACATGTACATACATGTGTACACAATAGACAAGAACATTTTTATGTTTTTACCCATTTTATGCCTCCTTCAAACATAAATAATTTTAAATAAATCAATTTGTCCATAATATCTTAAAATATCGTAATATTTGTTTCCTGGGATTTCGCCCAGCTCTAAATTGGGGCCTTACATTTTTGATGTTAAAGGTTATATTATTCCTTGCAACATCTTAGTGCCCCATAATATATCAATAAATATATTATGAATAACTACATTAAGATACATACCTCTTTTTAATGTTTTATATTTTTCTTCATTTACTAAATAACTTTCATCTGCCTTGAAAACATCTACAAAAGAAGAAATTCAACTTCAGACCATGCAAGAATTAAATTCTATTTCTCAAACAGTCATGTGTTTATTGAAGCTGTTTTCAGGAATTCACTTAAGTAATCACTAATTCTGTTAATGTCTACTAAGCTGAATACCTGTTCAGGGGATCCCGTGGCTAAGTGGTTAAGACGCTGGCTCGCTAGCCTGGAGGTCGGGTGTTCGATCCCTGCATTGGCCGAGAAAGTTCATCCAGATTATCCGGTGTGGTTCTCCCTTGTCAGTGATGCAGGACGGAGGGGCTGACAAGGAAAGCTGTCTAGTCATTCGGATGGGACGAAAAACCAAGGTCCCGTGTACACATTGGCGTGCACGTAAAAGATCCCTTGGCAGTTGGAATTCGATATAAGAGTAGGACGTAGTGCCGCTGTCCGGGCAAAATTTCCCTCATAGCACACTGTATGGCGTATGCCCGTCTTCATTAGCCCAGTTCGGAGCAAAACAGTAGGACGTTAAACCCCATTTCATTTCATTTCATTTCGAATACCTGTTCATTTACAAGATGTAACTAATTGTTGTGTATAAAGAAAGAGAAATGGGGTTAAACTTCCACTTGACACAAACTAGGTCATTTCGGGACTAACACATGGTTCAATTTTATTTCAATAATTTGCTTGTGCGTAAGGGTCTAGCAGTGGGAGGAAACCGGAAGACCCAGAGAAAATCCGCGAGGTTGAACAGGCGACCTCACTCCTTGTCACGTACAACCGGGAAATCGAAACCACGCCATTTGACTCAATGACAGACTTTATGATACAGAGCGCACGTGCTAACCATTCAGCCCCCCCCCCCCAATTGTTGTGTCTAGTGACAGATCATGGAGAGGGCAACAGAAGAAAATGCCTCAGGCCCGTTTGTGATCTGGTGATATTTTTTATAATGAGTTCTTTCAAAACAAGTACAAATGAACTTGTCAAACAGCAACACATAAATTCCTGTATTTGTAGGTCCCAAATATTAGCGACTTAGCTCCTTTAACATTTTATACTTGGTCATATTTCGTAGATCTTGAAAGCAAAGCTTATATTTCAGTCTGTTGTATACATTTACTTACTTAGAATATCTTCAGGATCACCAGCCTGTTCTAAACTCAGCAGATGAGTAAACTGTTCTTCTTCTTCTATAAGATCTAATGATTCTAACACAGCAGGAAAATCCTAGCAAAATAATGAGATTAAATCAACAATTTAACAAGGGAAATAACTCTCACATAAAAAAGGCTGACTTGTGATGGGTCACATTAATTTCTTTCTCGCATAGAACACAATTTCATGGGAGTATCTTGAATGTGAAGGAGAGTTTTTTTAAAGACACTGGTTTACCTCACACACTGACCTTTCAATTCGTCTCAACCAATTCTGTTGATTTTCCCCTTCACCCCCACAGCCATTACCTCACGACTAAAATGGTTGGAAAAGAACTAGGTTTCTCTAGGTCTACATCAGAATTAGAACCAGGATATTCTAGTCATGAATCAGAAGCAAAAAAGAATATATAAACCCTTACCTTGAAATTATCTTTACGAACGGCAAACATAACCTCTGTCATATACTGAACACGCTTGTCTATTTGTCCTTCATGTAGAATATTACGTAATCTATCAAATATTGCTGAAACAAAAATTGAAGATTTGTTATCATACGAGCCATAGCGCCATACAGGTTTTCATTAAAAAGAAAAACCCCACGTTTTTCAAAGATTTTTAGGCAGAAAAACTTAATTCAAAACTGAGCCAACAAGATTACTGCTTATGTATTTGGTTTACTAGAAATAAGAAAACATTATTTCGCAAGGTGGTTCCTAAAGGAGATGGTCCAACTATTTCTATATTCTAACAAATGATACATAATGACGACAACAACCTTCTCAGATCAACATTCAAGAGCTATCCTTGATGCATAGTTACGTCATTAATACTACCAGATATTCCAATACGCAGGGATGTGATACTATTACAATTACCGGGCGGCACCGCCTGGCATCAATATTGTCCGCCCGGCAAAAATATCTTGAAGTAGATTTCCGCCCACCTCCATTTTCTTGTAAATAAAGATAATCTAAATTGGTAAAAGCGTTTTTATTTGTTGCTTTTAACCTCATAAATTGAATAAATTATTTTGACTCGTGTCAAACTGACCTCATATCATAGACATCTAAATATAACGTTCGTTTTCGACGAAATATATTACTTACGATTTCTTATTTGATGCGCAGAGTTATCTGATATTTAGACTCTTTTAACTGGTCACATCAGCGCGATGTAACTAGCATGACTGGTTAAACAAGCCTACTGCACCGTTATTGTTTAAAAATAGCACTAGCAGACGACTATTTTCGCTATTTAAACTATTTTTATAGATTCGAGCAATTCTATAATCCATATCTACGTAAATTCCAACAAATATAAGTATCATGGTACCAAACTTGCGTTTTAAATGAATACTTCGCCGTTGAGGTGTTGAATTCCGATTATAAAATATCCGTAATACTGTAGCCTAATTTGATTATCAAAAGACGATTTCACACATGTGCATGACATTATATTACATGAACTTCGTGTGGCGGACATGTAACGCCCCCCCTGGAATTCCTTTCTAACGCCACGTCTTTATTTACGCTAAAAATTATATTATATTAATTTATATGATATATTTTCCCGACCTAATTATTTGATTTGATCATATTTTCCAATAAATTATTCATAGCCGTTATTTCTGGAAATTGTTTTGAACTTTTTAAATGATTAAATAAACCAGTCAACGAGCCGTGTGCATCTCCATGTGAAAACATGCGTAGATGGTCAGTGTGAAATCCATATTTGTTATAAAATTGGCTGCTAGTGCTACCTGACTTCCAACCATTTGAGTAGGCGTATGACAATGGACCGTATACGTTCCATGGTCTGACTGAAGGAATGCCGACTTGTGTTTTCGATAGAAAAATACCGTCACGAGAACTCAGGAAACAAACAAAACAATAATTAATAAATTCCTATTTTCGATTATGCCGTGGATTACGCAGGTATACAACGGTGGTTTCAGTGTCAACATTGGCAAATTGCCGTCGTCATATTCTTAAATACGATGTCGCCCGTAGTTCTTATATATTTTCTACGGTAATTTTGCTAAATACTACGGTGCGGTGCCGTCGTGAATTTTGACCCCTGCTCATGAAATTGCGCATTTTCGATCGAAAAAATACCCCGATAATTTTTTGCCGAAGATTACCGCCCGGCATGAATATTTTTCTGGGCACATCCCTGAATACGGTTTATCCAAAATGATATATTTGAGGTTTTTAGTCAAGATTTGTTTATTTTGTGAGTTGAAATAAAATAATGCCATTTAGTATTATTCGTATGCCCCACCTAGACAAATGTGTGTTGAAATTAACAATTAGATTTTTTTCTACTCTATCCAATTGACAATTGCTAGTTCTGGTGGTGCTAGTGACTTAAAAACTTTTTAAAAGCTAATTCAATCAGTTATCATCAGTTATCTATTGTTATAAGGTGTATCATCTCCTTTAGTTAGTTCATCCAAAAGCTTTTATTATACAAGATTTATACAGCAGTTATTATCCTAACCATATACATCTAAAATATCTTTACCTGTTACACCACGAGGAGATAACTCTTGTAATTTCTGTCCACATTCTTTAAGAAAACCAACGGCAATTTCTACAGAATCATCTGTTGGTGTGTATAACAGAAGTGTTAATATCTCTAAAGCCAAAACTTCATGAGCCTGAAAGACAGAATAAGGAACTTTAAAAAGCCAAGTATGATCAGATTACGCTTTCCTAAAGACAAACTCAGTACACTTAAGTTAGGGTTCTTTTATTTCAGTGCCAGTGTTTAAACACAAGCTTTCACATGTGTTCACGCAAACATATGCCCATTTAATTCCTGGTTAGCTTTCAATCGCTCGACTGAAACATGAAGAAATACCAATGTACAACAATAAAAGATATATACTGTAATGCAATGAAAATGTATTTATAAACAGATGTAATAAATGTAACAAAATCGGATCTCAATGATAATATGCAAGAACGGTTTTTTTAAGATCACGCCAATACACACTACAAATCAATTCCCTAAAACAGAAAACATTGTTGAAAATCCCAATTTTATGTTGTAATAGGGATATAAAATGCAGCTCTTAAACCATGAGGGTCAGTACAACTTCTTCAGTTATGTGTAATATGCCACAATATGTCAAGGTTGACACACCTGATTACTGAGAACATGTCCTTGTGTTAATTCAAGAGGGCTTGAGTACCAGTGACATTGCAGTAAGACTGGACTGGAGAAGGATCTCAAAGGCAGCTATTATAAACATCCATGCTGCATTGTTGCATAGCGTGTGTGGTTGACAGAGGTGGACACACATGTTACTGACTTCTTACTTTGTGTCTAAACTACTGAAAAGTCAAGTTGTTATAGCTCTCGCTTTTCTTAGTTCTCTTGGAAATTGATAACGTGGAGGCATGTACACAGGTGGATCTACTTTATTTTAATGGAGAAACAATCGACCTGCTCCACAAAAATAATCTATATTAACTTACAACTTGTTGATTGACAAGATGTGCTAGAAACCTAGTAGACGATAAACAAAGTGTCTTATCATTTCTTCTAAAACCTTTACGGAACTGTATAACCAATCTTTTCAATATTAGTTCACCATTCTGTGGAAACTGAAGAAAAAAAATTAAATTTATATATAAAACCTGTCAAACATCTCACTGAAATTATTTATATTACGACGTGATGATTTTTTTTTTTTTCAAAAATCTTGAAAAGTGTACGAGATGATAACCTACCTTTGTATTAATAATAGCAACAAGAGCTGCATAAACATGAGTAAAGGTTGGAGATGCAGACTGAGCTTGTATGATAGATCGGGCTAAAACACCTCTGAAATATAAAATACAAAAATTACTCATTAATATCTAGTAATCAGTGTACTTTGACACTTCTGAGACCAGCAACAGACAGTAATATACTTATATACACTTGTGAGTACGTAAATTTAAGCGAGAATGTGGTATTTCTACAAATTCTTCTTCCAAGTCCAATGATCAACAGATATTTTAAATCAACTATGACCTGTCATTGAGTTGCTGGACACAATTTTTATCCTAACAAAATGAGTAAACTCAAATTATTAAATTACATTTATGTGTCCTCAGATTTCTAATATTTATAAAACAATGAGCAACAAAATGAATAGCCAAATTAAAACTTTGTTCGATACATTAAAAATATTGACCAAAAAAGTCTCTGAAAAAGCTGACTGGGTAACCCCAAGTGTCCCAACCAATGGCTGTGTTATCTTAGTGTTAATTCTTGGGGCAAGAAGAAGAGAATTGTATATAATCAATAAAATTATCAATGACTTACCTTCCTCTCACAATATTCTCTTGAAAAAGTTCTTGTACAATAAAATTAATATTTGCAATATTGACCTTGTTGATCAAACCATTAATACTTTTCTTGAGTGCTTCCCAGGCCATTCTCTGATATGGAACACTGCAATAAAATTATCATTTTTTGCACTGTTAAGTCATTGCCAAGGCATTGTCTATCTCAAATTTGTAAATCTCCATTTCTATTATTTGTTTTGTTCGGATAGAAATTCTATCAAAGGAAAAGTCCAGCTGTTGTCATTTGTTTATGTTTAATCTAAGGCTACACAAAATAAATGTCTTGTTTCTCGGGCAACTGACAGCTGAAACTGTAGGGGGGGAGGGCGGTTTATTTTTTTTTTTTATCTCATTTCTGGCTAGAGGATGGTGCAAAATAAAATTTGCCTATTGTTGAAAATTGTTGGGGCGGGAGGGCGGCCTTGTATTTTTTTTTTTTTTTAATAAGAAAGTCATTACTTGTCTACGGTTTTGCTTTCAGTTATATATTATACATACTTAGAACATAAACCCAAAAATCAAGTCTACTCAAACACTGAACACTGACTGAAAGGAAAATAATTTTCCATATTTAATTCACGTAATGTAGCTTACTAATGGTAATAGTGACAACCATAATTGAAATTGGTTTAAAATAAAATTCCGTACGACTATTAATAGCCGTCCATAATAACGACAATATTTTAAAGAGTAAGCCTCTGTCAGCATGTGTATCATCATCATCACGGTAAACGACACTTCGATCTAAATCTAGTATCGCTGGTTTATAATGATTGACCTAATTCCAACCAATGTCAGGTTATTCGGTGTGTTTCTCAGGATATTCGGTGTTCTATCTGGGGTTTATATCGAATGACTATTTAAATTTAACTAACAACTCGTCAGTAAAACCATCAAATGTGTAATCCAATTATTATTTTCCGGATTATCAAAACTACCGTTAAATGTGCTAATGACCCAGATTCTGACTAAGGTATGGTGACTATCATCGTATCGTATTCGTAGCCACAAGTTATAATAATTAACCTGTTCTACGATTCATTGTTTTATAAGTAGGATTTTTTTAAACATGGACCGACTGAAGCCGGCAATAATGAGCCGATTAAGATCGAATGATTGAAATACATTGCATTGTTGTCAATGACTTTCGGTGTTTAACACGATTCAAATTCTAGTTCACAAGGGGAGGTAATTAAAATCACGTGATACAAAAATGGAGGTTCTTTCGATATCAATAAAAAAGACCTGTAAATGAGCGTTTACATCTGAATCAGTTTAATACATTTGAATGGATATTCACGTATGGGGCATGTAGATACATGCGGCATATTTTTTTTATGACTTGCTTATCGATGTTCGGGCGGGCGTTACATATTTTTTTTTCATCAAGACTAATAAATAGGCCGCACACGCAACCAATTTTGCGTGCGGGCGGTGCCCGAGAAACAACTTATTTTATTTGTGTTGCCTAATATAAATATAGTTTCACTTCAACTTTAATTAGCTATCAATGTGTTAGAGCTGCACATTCTATTCAATTTAACAACTTTCTTATTCTGTATTCACACTGTCACATGTTTACAATTTACAGAGAGTAGGTATGATAACACAAACATTTACCCTGATAAATTGGATAATTTGAATTATATATCGGGATGTGCATTTTAATACTATTTTAATAATACATTATGAATAAAATATAAACAATTGGCAACGGCTGACATTCCCCTTTAAAATTTAAGTTAACAGAATTCAGTAACTACATTTGTTTTACAGGTAAGTTTTAAAACTGCCAATAGCATTGCGTTTAAAAAGTTCTGTATTTGACATTAACCTGCTCTTATCTGTGATTTGTTGCTGCATCATACGTAGTCGAGCTGGTGGAATATACGCTCCTCCCGTTCTGGTCATTATATTCTGATCATCTTTCGGGGGTTTAGTAACTGGTACAACAGCTTTACTATCACTGCCATCTTTAACTTCACCATCTTTGTTTATATTTTCTCTAAAAAAAAATTCAAAAAATCATTAAAGTTAGCTTACTGAAGAACAGGTCTGGGACAACTTTTGCTAGCTTGATTCATTAAGATGAGACCAATGTTATTTATTATCTTCTTGCATTCTATTTCTAGCCTTGATTTGCACATCAGTTACTGCACAACACACAACCAACTAGAAACCCAGAAGGCAAATGATATGCAGACAAGACAAAAAACATGGACAATGTAAACAATAAAAGTACCATACTGGACATAACTGTAAATAGGGAACTATTTCAAGAAACACTTACTATAAGAAATAGCATTTAATAACATTTAGAAAACTAATAAACAATTTTTATTTACATGTTTTCTTGTTTGTTATTTTCTTCTTCTCTCCTTCCTTCTCTCCTTCCTTCTCTCCTATCTCTACCATTTCTCTTCTCATTATTTTCGTCTTCTCTCCTTCCTTCTCTCCTATCTCTATCATTTCTCCTATCACTTCTCTTCTCATTATTTTCGTCTTCTCTCCTTCCTTCTCTCCTATCTCTATCATTTCTCCAACCACTTCTCTTCTCTCTTTCTTTGTCATTTCCATGGCTTTGATACCTTCTATTATTTCTCCTGTAACGATCATCACGATCTAGCCTTTCCTCTCTGTCCTCTCTATCGTATCTCCCCCCATTTCTTTCATTTCTCCTTCTGTCCCGGTCATACCTCCCTTCACTATCTCTGTCCCTGTGTCTATTTCTCCTGTCATCCCTTTCATTCCGAGCATCTCTTCGACCATCTCTAGAATAGGGGGCATCTCTATCTCTATAACGTGACACATCAGGAGAAACTGAACAATCATATCTATCTGTTCTCATTCCCCCTGATGATTCCTCACCAGAATCTTTTTCTTGTTTAACTAAATGCACTTCTGAAATCCTTTGCTTTTCTCGGCTACCAGTTTGACGGCGACTTTGTTTTTCTTCATCAGAAGACCAATTCCTTTCTCTTTTCCATTCGGGTTCAGGTTCCATCTCAAAATTTTCTTCTTCCTCTTCTACTCTTTCAACCTTGATATCTGACTTTTCACCTCTTTTACTTTTAACCTCTGACCTTTTGCTTCTATCCTCTTGGCCTGAATCCTGCTCGTTCGCACTGTCTTCTGAATCATGTAGCTTCTAAAAAAATAATAAAATAAACAGCATTTTATTATTAAAGGAGAAACCTCAGATATAAATCTGGTTATATCTATGTGTGAAGGCTCTTAAATCCCTTTATTCTAGTCTGAAGCATACTCCTTGCAGTGTTTCATTTGATTAAACCCAATCCCACTCAAACACTGCGGATTGACTTAATTATTATTAGTTAATAGTCAAATAAATCGTGATTTCACTAATTCTAAATAATGCATATAAATTTCATAAAACTGTTGGCATCAGAGCATTCACAAGGTTCGACAAAGCGAAAGAAGAGTCCCAACTTTAGGCGTAATAAATGGAAATTGCTGAAATTCAATGACCTTTTTTGTTTCACTAATTTAAATAGTGCTTATAAATTTCACAAAGTTAAACAAGGGCCATAACTCTAAGACATAATAAATGGATATTGCTAAAATTCATTAGGATTCTTCTTTTTACTAATTTAAATGACACATATAAATTTCACACAGATCGAATGATAACATTATATGTTAGAGCGTTCACAAGGTACAACCAAGTGAAACAAGGGCCATAACTCTAGAAGTAATAAATGGAAATTGCTGAAATTCAATAGGATTCTTCTTTTTACTAATTTAAAGGATGCATATAAATTTCATACAGATCGGTAGATAACTTTTGATGTTAGAGCAATATATGTCCACATTTCCATATGGGCGTATAAATATCACCTTTAAAAAAATTAAGACAAAATCCTAGATATACATACAAGGCTCTACAATGCGACTAAAACACTCGCATTTGCGCATGAATTTTGACAATGGCGACCAGATATTTATAAATGCTAGGTTTCTGGTGAGTAAACATATATCTTGAAGTCCCCAATTAACACTATAGCTATCTGAACTTTTCTCTGTAAAGATAACGTAATCGGCAATGATCCCGGTCAACTGTCACTCTTGTTTCTTTCCTGGTTTGAAATTGGGTCAATTTCATTGTCCTCTGCGAGGAAATTCTCATTGGGCATGCGCTGTTTTTATCGGAAGTTTACGAGACAGCTGACAGCATGGCTAGCAGACGAATCAAACCTATATCGTCTTACTTTACTAGTAAAGTAACTTCGTCTCGCAGTGAGTCTCAGTTGGGGGGAAAAATGATGATAGTCATGCTACTGACACTACACCACCCAAACAAGCAAAATTACAAGCTTCGCCGTCTTCGTCTCGCAGTGAGTCCCAGTCGAAAAAAAGGTTTAAAACATCTTTTATTATTATTATAGGACGACAAGTTGAAGAGTTATGTATGTTCACAATATAATTTAGCTATATCATACGACAAATTATTCTAATCTTTAGACTTTGCAACTGAAAATTTTGTTTGGCTAGTGGTTTTGAAAATTTACTTATGTTTGCACAAGTAAGTTCAAAATGCTGTGTAGAGCCTTGACATATGTGACTAAGACTGGTTAATTCTTCTGTGTGGAAGGCTCTCATTTCTAAAGATTTCCTAAACTTATTCTTAAAAGAGATATCCTGCATAACTCAAATGATTCCTTAAATTAATACATGTAGTAGTAGTAGTCCTATTCCAGTTTCCTTACCTTTGTTGTTCTTGTGTTAGAAACTGAACTTTTAACTTTTCTTGTATTAGAATCATCATCGCTGTCAGATATTTCACCACTTTCAGCACTCTTGGTGGCTCTAATCCTTTGTCGTTCTTTGACCGGTGGGTCTGGGCTATCTGGACTACTGGAGCTACTACTGGAACTACTGGAATCACTGCTGCTACTGTTGCTACCATCAGAGTCACTGGAACCAGAGTCTTCCTCAGATGAAGAATCCTTGTTCTTTGATTTACTTGACATCTTTTTTGATTTTATAGTTTTCTTTTTTTCTACTTCTTCACCAGAATCTGAAGTTTTGTCTGTGTCATGGCGTCTGAAAGAAATGAATTAGAGTTTCATTCAATTTTCAGTGAAATTGTTATCAATGAATTTACATGTTCAATCAATAACAAACTGTCCAAATAAGTTGTTAAAATTTCCCCAATTTTTCTCATGCTCACATTCATGGCAGAGAATAGTTTAACTCTATTTGCTTTGCAATTGGTGCTCAAAAGTTCTGAAATGTTTACCAAATTCAAACTGATTAGAATCAATTTCATCAAATTCTGTTTCAGTACAAAATATTTCACCGAAAAAATGATGCACTTGATATCACAGCCATTATCAAGGGCTATTTTGCCCTCTGTATTGCCTTTCTAGGACTATCATATCGTACATTTTTATCTGGGCACTTCAAGTGTACAATTATTATTATGTTATTATTATGTCTTCAACACATGAATCCCAGGTGGAAATTAAAATAATAAATGGGATCACACATTTGATGGTTTCGTAGCACACTGTATGGCATATGCCTATCTTAATTAGCCCAGTTTGGAGCAGAACAGTAGGACGTTAAACCCCATTTCATTTCATTTAAAGCTTTATACAATCAAGAATTATTATACAGTGGATACGTATAATATTTTTCTTTGTAATTTATTAACTATTTATATATTTATAATATTAAACTGTGGGCAATATTTCTTCAAGTCGATTTTATCCAAGGAATATTATTCGCATGAATTTATTTGAAAACAACCTACTCAAAACACAAAGGAAAATGTTTACATGACATGCTTGCAATAGAAGGCAAAACAAATTTATAAATATAGGGCATACTATGTGTTTTCAATCATTGATAATCGTGGATGTGTGTCGATTCAATTTATTCTGTTTCAAGTAAAAGACATAGAAGCTACATGAAGCTTATCCAACTAATCTGACGAGTAAAACAGATTTCATCCCTACAATTAACATTTCTTTACAAGTCAACTATAAGTTGTGGATGACATTACCAATACCAGGTGGACGACATATCCAATACCTTGTGGACGAGTCAACCAATGCCTGTGGGCGACTTAACTGTGAACGAGTTAACTAGCTTCTATTTCAACTCAAAAACCTTATATCAGAAAGCCCATTATGACTCAATACCAAGCTACTTTTAATCATAAAAACATCTGTGAACTAATCTCAGTCTTGATCAGTTAATCAAGCTCATTTACTATTGATGATAACATTTTCAACAATATTATATTCGAAGTGGATATTTAACTGTATACAGCAAAGTATCTACTTCCGCTATTTTACCGTACATTGTTTCGGCGCAGAAGCACGATTTTACGGGAAAAACATAAACCACTGATAGTCTTAGTACTTAAATTAAAACCAAAATCCGCAGAAATGTGCCCTGGACCAAAATAGAATAATATTCTAAATGCTTTTCTACAATTTACATTTATTATCTTATTTTCTTTTAAAAATAATTCTCCAGTTTCTACCATAGAAATTCAAGTATGGCTATTTCGTTCCTTTACATGTATAAGAAACGGAAAAAGAAGCAATGTTAGACAAAGAACGAATAGAACGGTTGGGTTAGGGTTAGGTTTTGGTTTAGGGTTTGGGTTATGTCAGACGCCAAAGCGAAAACTGCTAAGTGCCGTATACGGTTAAATATCCACTGCCTATTATATTTATATTTCCTAAACCTTGTTATTATCGAGTCTGCTGAACAATCATACAGTAAGTAAGTCCGAAAAGTCATCAGACTGAGACCGAACCGTTGTTTGTGTGATTTCCTGTCCTTTCGGTCCCGCGTCATTTTGGACATAAGACATTTCGGGTTCAAAAAAATATGGCCTCGACGTTTCGGACACGGGCAGGTGACCTTCGGACTGTGGAGTCGAAAAGGTCCCTGGACCGAAATGTCATATTAACTTTCTCCTGACGTGGTTCGTTGTGTAAGACTACAAGTAACATATCAGTTACAGAAACGATAGGCATAACATATGCTTCCTCAGTTCCTGTGAAAAGATGCAAAATCTTGAATTGAAAGACATTTTTATTTTAATGTTCGTTGTTATGTTGACCTGTTAGCCTACCGTTTACTGTCCCTGGCTTCTCATTGCTCATCTAAAATAATACTAGATTTTACAAAACAATATGGGCCTGTGTGGTGACAAATTAATTAAACTTTCATATACGTACTTTCTTGGCATAATGTACAAATAATTAAAACGGCAAATATTGTGCTAAAATGCTTCACACGATGGTGGAACTAACCGGAAAGACGAACAGACGGATGTATATGAGTCGGAAGTCAGAAATCAACCAATCAACGTTTAGTGTTATAGACGTTCCCGCCAAGTTTACACACAGCTGAAAGAAGTGGAAACAGAAAAAAGTTGAAAGAAATTTTTTTTAGACAATATTTAGGACTATATAGTTACTTTCAGGTATAATTCAGCAATTTGATCTTTACAAATACTAGATTTATAAATAATAATAATAGAATAGCCTAGATTTATTATAATATTTTATCTCTTTTGTGCTTGTGTGGTGTTCTGAACCGTTGTTGTTTACGTACTGATGATCGTATCGTGATGATTGATGTGCATTTTCTCGGGTTGGCTGGGATTGGGAAGTCTTTTAAAGTTCATCTTCTGTTTCACGTCCATGAGTATTTCCATTGTAAGCTAGTTTAGTAGTTAACTTGTCCACGCGTAAACTCAAACTCGTCCACGACGCAAACATTGGTTGACCTGTCCGCAAGGTTAGCTATTGCCATTGCCCTTGGTAATTTGGTTATGTCATTCACAACTACCGGTTAGTCACATAAAATAATGGGCCTGCTTGATTTGTCCGCCAATAGGTGAGCCTGTTTCTACTACGGCATACGCCGGTCAGTTTACCGTATCGAAGCAAATCAAGTGACCCGGCGGATAAACAATATATGGCGTCGGATAATGTTATAATATTAAACCGGTTACCTGACATGTTTTAATCAAACAGTATTCTTGAAAGTCTGACTTGAAGTTGAAAATGCCCACAAAATAAGCAGAAAATTATTAGTAATATTACTGAGTAAAAAAAATGACATATATTATGAACTTCTGGTTTTACGAAGCTCAAATACAACTTCACATTTGGTTTAATTTTAACGCTTTAAAATTAGTGTTTTATGGCATTCCTAAATAACGTTAATTTTATCTCGTTGACATGTTCACCATCTTGCGCCGGTGTTCCAGGGGTATAAAAAAAATTTTGAATCCACTAGCCCAGGGCTAGTAGTCTACACTAGCCCGGCATTAATATCCACTAGTCCATAGTTTGACAAGGTACAAGATTTAATCTTCAATGTTTTGGCATATGTTGTGTTGCCTGTCAACCTATTGTTTTTAATAAAGATCGTAGACTTGATTGCCTAATAATTAACGATGTATACGCTACTCGGTTAACCGGTCACGGTTCGGTTGCACTGGTGAAACGGTTAAAAAAAACTACAATCTGATATTCGTTTTCATATCATATCTGACCTTCAAAACCAGGAATGGTAGCCACAACAATGTTTTCTCTCACTAAAGACCATATAAACACTTCATATAGCACATGCCATTTATAATATATCACAGTAAATTAACGTCCTTTAATTCCCGCTCGGAGATTTGTATATGTTATGTTATTATTAGCACTTACTGCAAAGCACAAGATATCCTTGACTGATTGACAAATTAATTGTTTTACCGTATTTATTTACCTGGTCACTCTATAAAGAGTCTCAAAATGAAACAAATCAGTTTGATGTGCTGATATAATATTAAAATAGACAGGATAGTAAAATTGTTTATACATGTATTATCACTCCAGTGCCATGCTGCGTGCCGATAGGGTCAAAGTTGACGACACACAGGTCACTGGAACCATTCATCATGGCGTGTGTGTAATGAACACGTGTAGTAAATTCTTTGGAAATACCTGACATGTTAAATAATCAAAATTATCTTGTATTTAAAAATACAAAGGTATGCTTTCAAATATTTATGTCAGAACTAATCTAATATAAAGTATAAATTAGTCTTTTGTTTTTAAATCAACCTGATTTCAACTGGTTTATACGTGACCTGTCAAAGCGTGCAAGATGGAGAAATGAAATGTCAAGAAGGAATGAATAGAAGGGGTACAAAAAATGTCCATCTGGCTCTTTAAGTTTTACTACAGAAAATATATTGTTATGATTGAGTTTTCCTTGGAATTTGAGAAATAAATGTGGGATGTTTTACAGCTTATTTATCTATATCGTCACTATCTATAGCTTAATTCACAAACCGGTGAAAGGTCACTAGCCCAGGACTAGTACAGCTAAATAGATCACTAGCCCGTAATTTATTTTTGGTAGCGTCGGGCTAGTGGATTTTTACAACCCTGCGGTGTTCACTGTTGCCGCCAAAGCGGCGCATTCGACATACGTCGCAGTCGGACTTTTGTCGACTTCCGGTAAAATCAAGTGACCTCGCGCAAAAATTGCTGAACTGTGGTCAGCTGGTATTGACAAATCAAGCAGGGTCTCTAATAGTTGACGGTCAAATTTATCAATGTTTCAATTGACTTTCTGCTTTACTTAACAGAATGTTACAACAGATTATTTGAATAAGCTTAGACTCTATGTCTTTTAACTTTACACGAAACAGAATAATATAATTGCAATCAATTATCAACAATGGTGTGGGTCAGTCCGTTTAACCCCAGACTGTTGTTGTCTGACTGTTTCATCCCCATTAACTTGAGTTGTACATCTACATGTAACTTATTGTTAAATAAACTGTTAAACACTTATTTCTTGTTAAAGAAACACCTTATTAATTGTTATGGATTAGTAATAAAAACAAGTATGGTATATGTAAGTAATTGGGATGAGAGCTGAGTTGTACAAATTGGATGATTTTGGGTGGTTTTAAATGAATCATTAAATGACAATTTGATTGAATATCTCGATCACCCAGTACTTACTTACAAACATAGCTTGGTCGCCAGGGAGACATTCCTCACAGGGTCAATCACTTTGAATTGCAAATGACGTCAGAATTTTTGGACCAAACCCAACCCTAACCCTAGAACGCGGTGCGTGTCAGTGTCGCTAAAAATAAACCATCACCTCGTTTATCAACGCGAGATTTCGTCAATTCACCATGGCCGGTGTTGTGAGGAATGTCTCCCATGTGCAAAATTTTACAAACATTGTCCAGACATTAACCCATATCAAAAATCAGTCTATATACATGTACAGTGTAATCTGTAAAATAATGGGACAATACTAGAAAGGTGTATACCAAAAATTGAGATAAAAAAAGGTACAATTATTTGAATAATAACACATTTGATTGTGGAAAAAAATGTTATTCATTGTTTAGCAGTTCCATTCCATTGATCACTGATACATCTACTATAAAAATATATTTTAAATGTTTGCACTTGATATTGTAGTATTTGAAGAATTAGGAGATTTTGGCTTTTAAATCATTCAGGTGCTTGAGCTACAGTGTTACTGTTCTTAGCAAAGATAAATATTGGTCCGAGTGGTCTTACAATATAAATTAATTGGTCCGAGTGGTCTTTTGGTTTAGTCCGAGTGGTCTGCATACCACTGATACTATAAAAAGACTTTTCCAGTTTTGCATAAAAATTTAGCTAATTATCCCCAAATTAATTCAATTTATATTGTACAATTCAACCACTGTTAGTTTCTGACAATAATCCTGCCGAATAATATACCGTAGCAAATAGGACAATAAATAGCGTAATTGGTAATTGATCACTTTTTTTTTTCAGCTGAACTCAAAAAGTTGGACTTAGCCACAACAATGGCTTCAACCATTCAAAGGAAATTGGAATTCAAAGTTAGGAAAAGCTCAAGATTGAGTGGAAAACCAGTTGAAGCCAAACTTACAAGTGATTTAGAGAGGTCTGAAAAAAGGTGCCCTCGAAGAAAAAACAAAAATCAATTTAATCTACCAACTTCTCCTAGAAAAAGAAGTGGATCAGGTATGACATTATACATGTTGCCTACAACTAAGTCTATAATTAAGCAATTTATGCACTTGATATAGCAGAGTGAAAAAAAATGATTTTATAGGCGTCTTGTAAATGCTCCCATTATCTACAAAAGACTAAAGTATGAGACATTCTTCGTGCCGTTTTCAGATGACTGACATATATGTGTACCTGCTGTGGGAGTTTCTTTGCCTGGCAAGCTATCTTTTGAGTGTTGCAAACCAGGTTTCTGAAATGATTGATGGGAATAGGAGCCGAAACCTTTGAGTGGCTTAGTAAGTATGGACTGAGAACAGTCCTCAGAATTTTCTACTGCAGGTTTCCCATTGTCAGTGGTACAGGAAGGAAGGCTACGTAATTAATTGTATTATAATAACCGTTATTTTTTAGAATCGGAACCAAACTCACCCGTTAAACTTCCACCCACTTGCTCCCCTAGTAAGAAGAAAAAAGATGTTCCACCACCCAGTCTATCTCGAGAAACACCTAGTAAATCATGTTTAATGGATAAATTCCCATGCTCAACTTTACCACTTTCACCTAGAAAAGAGAACAATAATGTAGGCAAGTACATGTATTAAACAGTAGAAGTCTTTTGAGCAAGCATTATGGCTTAGAATTTGGCCAAAAAAAATTCACGTTTTTTTTGAAGGGAATAGATTTTAATCCCATGGATTATCTTTCAAGAAAGATTAAATGCCATGAAATTTTCGAGGAATCTATATTTTATGATATCCTTAAAAATATGCTTATTAAATACACATGTATATCATCCACTCCAGGTTTCTTGATCCAATACAACTGATTGATTTGTTTTACTATGCTGAAAATTATTTACAGTACCTGGGCCCTTATTCACGAAAACTTAAACTAAGATACAATCGAAATTTTAAGAAATATATATCCAATTTGCATATTGGTCAGCCAATCGAATTGCAGTATTTCTTAAAATTTCGATTGTATCTTAGTTTAAGTTTTTGTGAAGAAGAGCCCTGTACATAACAATGTATGTAATGTCCTTTTATTTATTTTCTTTTTTTGTAGATCATATTTCCAAAATAAAGCAAACATTATTGTCTCCTGTCAAAGATCTAATTTATAGTGAGAAAAGGATGACTCCAAAAAAGAAAAGAAATCTTCTGTTGAATTCTCCCATCAAAGAGAACTTATGTATAATTCCCCTTGAAAACTCTCCAACAAAACGGCAATTAGTTCTTGGCTCTCCAGCCAGAGAAAATTGTAGGGTTCTCTCCCCTCGTAAATGTGATAACTCCCCTATCAAAGGCAGGAGACTTGTGTTGGGTTCTCCAGTCAAGGATCATAAAAGTCAAGCGTCACATTCCAGTACACCTGTATTTGCCTCCCTTTCAATAAAATCCAACAGATATTCATGTAAGTAATGCTAAGTAATTGGAAACATAATCATCTTGGTGTCAAATCTAAAAGTTTTGTGTTAATAGTTTGTTTTGACTCTTGTTAAAGAAGAACTCTCACTTAGCTATCTTTACAATATTTATTGATTTACACATTCAGATTAAATGAGTATTTGTATCATAAATTAAATGTTTAAATATTCAATATATGGCATGCTCAAACCGCTGAGAAAAATGTTCCCAGTAATAGATGAGTGTCTGCAATTTTAATTTGGGTTCGATATATTACAATGTACGATATGGACCTGTGATTTAAATGCTGTGTGATTTAGTAAAGTGAGATTTTTGCTTGATAAGCTTTGGCTGTACCGAACCAGCTCTACAAATGTTATAATGATTTTGAAGAAGTTCACGCAAAATGTTTTGCTCTTAATGGAATAGTGCTTTATGAGTGATCAATCATTTTTTGTTTGTTCAATGCAGCTTATAACCAAGTAAAACAGTCCCTTCACACAGCCAAACCTGAGAGACTGGTTGGAAGAGAAAAGGAGGTAGGAGAGATTAACCAGTTTCTGGAAAAGAATTTAGCCAACCAATCAGCTGGAAGTTTATATATATCTGGAGCTCCTGGAACAGGAAAAACAGCAGCACTACTTCATATTATAGATGATGTTAAGGTATTAGTCTAAATGAAGTTAAATTAATTAGGTACTTTAATTAGATGGGTGTGCACATACAAGAATCCATCAAAGTTGGACAAAATTTCCCACATTGCATAGCATGTCTGTCTTGATTAGCCTGGTTTGTGCAGAAAAGTAGGACGTTAAATCCCATTTCATTTCATTGATGCATCTCGTCTATTGCAGGTAAAATAAACCTCACTATTTCAGAGTTTATTTAATATCTATAGCAGAATATATGACTTAAGGTGCTGCTATAAAAAAAAGGTTTTGAATCCATACAGTACTCAAATTGTAATGATTTGAAAAAACATAAAAACATATAGTAAAAATGAGAAGACGGTGAGTAATCTCAACCTGGTGATTACCAATGTAAATGAACTAGTGTCTGTACAATCCTAGTAGAGTAACTCTGTTAATAGTACGACTAGGCTTGATTTGTAATGTCATACAAGACTGAATGATCAAAAGTCAGAATGGTTTGTATGCCCTGTGGCTCAACTTGAAATAATTGTGATAGCCAAGGGATGTATCATTACCATACACAGTAACTTACATCATAATGCCATCTAAGCAACTAGCCCACATTATATGGAAACTTGAATTGCCCCCCAAAATCAACCCTTGTAACTCTGCAACAAGTTACATGTAGGTCATTGTTTCTTTCTGTATTTCAGACAGATTATAAATGTAAGATATGTTATTTAAACTGTATGATGGTAAAAGATTCTAGTTCAGTGTTTAGAAAACTCTATCAAGAGATAACTGGTAAAGCTTTATCAGGAAAACGAGATCCATCACGTAGCATGGAAAAATGTCTAACCACAAGTAAAACTAGCGTGTAAGTACATGTAACTTTTAAATCATAAAAATGTTATATATAAGATCTAGAAAGGATATCTGCATTTGAAGCTGTGCAAATATACATGGCAAATTTCCAAAAATTAACGAAATAGCGAAACAAATTCAGTCAATTCAAGAGAATTGATCTTTTTTGTCGAAGATGATTTCAGGGGATGTTTACTGTATTTTAGTGAATTTGTAGGCCTGTGAAATTCTATTATATGTTACTACATGCATTTAGAAAATTTTATTATATATTCTCTTTGAAGAAATTACACAATCTTTTAAAAGAGCTAAAGCATTGAGTTGGATTTGGTGGCTGTATGTTTAAAAGGTCTGTCATTGAGTCAAGTGGCGTGATTTCGATTCCCCACTTGTATGTGACAAGGATTAGGGTTGCCTGTCCAACCTTGTGGATTTTCTCCCAAGTCCTCCGATTTCTGCCCAGAGCTAAAGACTCTCACTCAAAAGAGACCTAATTGTTTAATAATATTCTTACCCATAAAATTTTTCCATTTGCTTGCTTATGCATATATATACATGTATATTTCAGTATATTGGTTTTAGATGAAATAGATCAGTTAGATAGCAAAAGTCAAGAAGTTCTCTACACAATTTTTGAATGGCCAACTTTACCACATTCTAAACTGATTTTAGTAGGTAAGATCATACTGAAGTTTTATATTTGAATATCCCCAAACTAGAGAAATATCATATCTTTTCACCAATAACGGTCATTTTACATTATCCCATCTATGAACTTGATTAGCATAGATGACCGAAAAAGTTCCAGTGACTAGAGAATTTGAGATTTTTCACAGAAAGCAAATAAGACATATTCTGTCACATTTGAATTGTTTGCTCTTACAGAGAATTTGTACTCGCATAGTTGTCGTGGCATTTGTATCAGAAGTAATGAATATTTTTAATCAGAATATTTTAAACCTGACTATACAAGAGCTAAATCTGCCTATTGCACGTCTTATTTTAGGCCTGAAATGTTATCTAAATTATTAATTAGACATTAATTAACTTATCCAGACCACAAACAACTCTCAATGTCCTCGGATATCTCCAATATTAAGTAGATTAGAACAGTTCAGCCATATTATGATTTAATCTTAAAATGGTGAAACAGGGCTAAGCTTCGAACAACCGGTGCGGTGGTTGCAATTAATGTACACATCTTGTCAAACCTTCAAAAGCTAATATGGTTGCTCACAATGGAGCGATTTGAATGAAATTATCAATAAATTAATTTTGCATTATCTATATTCAAACTATTATAGTAAGAATGTATGTTTAAAGATGGGTTCCCGCGTACAAACTGGGTGATTTAATGGTATATATGGACCAAAAACATATTCAAACTAATTAATTTGTCATAATTATGCTTCAAATCCTTCTCAAACATTGTAATTGCGAAGGAATGCCCTGCTATTAGAATTCGATCAAACCAGGTCATGTTTACGTGACGTCTTGGGAGTCAGAGGAGAAATCATTGCATACATAAGACGATGTTGTCTTTAATTGCTTACTATTTATTACAAATATCGAATCCTAATTAAATTCTCGGATTATCCACTACCCGCGTCTTTTTCCGTCATTTTTATCTCAGAAAGTATTGTACGTCTAACTCTTCATAAAGTTTATCAACTTGTACATCAAGCGCTCAATGTTCACTTGTGACCTTTGACATTGTGCGTGCAGAAGGTCATAATCGTCGGGCTGTTGATTAGGGGAACCCTTACATTTTGTCCTGTATACGCTCCATGAGTGTTTTTTGGGGAATCCAGTATTTTTCTAGTAAGATTGGATATCTCTACTTTCCATATATACCAGAATTGCCATACTTTTATTGGAAATAACCACCCGATAAATACTTTTCTGCGAACCCATCTTTAAGTTCTTGATAATACCAAATATTCAGTATCCATTATAATTTTATATTGACAGGTATTGCCAATGCTTTAGATTTAACAGATCGTATATTACCTAGACTTCAAGCTCAACCAAAATGTCGGCCACAATTGTTGAATTTTGCTCCGTATAGTAGAGAACAAATTACAGCCGTTATACAAGATAGATTAAAAAAGGTAAAGTTTTATGTGATACTGTGCATTATTATTGAAAACCTACATCAACTGAAATTGATTGTAACTGTAAAATCAAGTTTATATTATGAGTGTGCTTTCTAAAAAAATTTAATTCATTTATCAATTGTTAAAGACCACGTAAGATCAAAAATCTAAATTGCATCTATGTATAGCCCATGGTTACTATATCAACTTTACGGCAAGTTCACACCAATCTGATTAAAATTAAGTCCGCTGTTAACGTTTACGTATCCGACACGCCAAAACGCTTTTCGATTTTTCAATTACGACCTTAATCCGGTTGATTGGCTGGTGACGTCACAGGCACTACACATAGGATATACATTATCTATACAATATCTCACTGTCTGTACAATATAGCACTATCAATACACACGGCAACTGGACAAGCGTCTATTGAAGGTCCAATTACCACGTGACTGGCCTAATCATAATCACCGAATTATCGTCTTTCATTGGTATAGATTAGACATTTGTGATTGGAATATTTTAGAGTGAATTTAAAATGCTGTATCATGCCGTAGATCAATTTAAGCTGCCTTTTTTTTAAATAGGTCATGTGTCAAATGAAGATGACTCAAGAAATTAGCGCATTTACCAGTAATTTGGATAACCCCGTAATACTTGATATCCCAAACTTAAGTACAGAAATACAAATGGTCCCAGTCATTTGTCGATATATTCATTATTCGCTATATATAATAATAATAACCATTTCTATACATAAAGAACAACTACAGTGAATATGGAATTTTCCAATGACTATGCAAAACATGTACAATATATCGCACTCATTTATCTGCCAATCAACGCTTGGTATCTTATTATCATGTACCGTTCCATGTACTACGGGTGTAGTAAATGGGGTTAAACTTCGCCGCGAAAATTGCACAGTATCGTTCGTGGAGTTCCTGGTGCCGTTTGGTGAGTGATTAAACTGTCAATGCAATTGTAAAATATATACTTTTATTATAAAGAAGATAACCGCCGATGTTAGACATTATAACCTAATCGTATCAAAAACGTTAATCCATGTTGTTTAAACGCCAATCAACAAATAATACGAGGCCACTTGATTACAAAAACACCGGTGAGCAATAATTATTGGGTATATAGTAATTTTAAACAAACTTATTAGTAAAACTTCATTATTTTATACAATTAATATGTGTGTGTACGATTCTACCATTAGTTCATTTGTGGGTACTACGCACACATTCCACCTAGAGTGATATCTTTGATCTGGCCGGCGTAAAAAAGATAATTACCTAATCAGCATTCTTAATCCCACTAACAATCATTGCTAACACCGAGATGTAAATTAATTAATGACCCCCAAGTCTGTATAAGTTTAGTCGCATTGATTAATTAATGACAGATATTAACGACACTACTTGTCATATTATTATCAATACACAAAGATAGTTAGATGACACTTCTCAATCTGTCTGTTATTCCATTTTGATGGTTACCCTCAAAATTTATTTGTACTGTATATTGAGATATTTTTTCGCATTTCATTTTTACGGTCTATTTCAGAGTAATGAAGTCAAATCCGTCGTACGATGATAACAGATCATCATTTACAAATCGCTTTTCAATCATGTTTGACTTTTATGATACAATTTGCATGACCACATCTTTTTAACACTGTACTTTTTTACTCGCGGAAATTAGAACCACAATACTCTTTTGACGAAAATGTATCTCTAATCAATTGGACTGCACACGATGTTAGAGGCTATTAAAATTCCTGTCATGAGAAACAAATTCTAAATTGAATCATAAATTAAAATGAATTACAAAACAAATTATTCCGTAGTCAATTGTTTTATTTAATTAAGGAACCAAGGGGGATTAAGGAACCAGTCAGGCGTTAATGAGTACACACGCGGGTTGTATATAGGTAATTAAGGAATAAACATTCCGAATATGCATTCGGTCACTGTGATGTCACTGGCATCTGAGGGGATTAAGAGTGTTTTCGATAATTGGCAAAGTCGTTTTTAAGGGAGGTCTATTTTTACGACTTTGAGTGAAGATAACTGAATTAATTTCAATCAGATTGGTGTGAACTTAAAGTAAAGTTGATATAGTAACCATTGGCTACACATATCCAAAAGTTTCCAAGCCCATCTTATGTGCACTTTAATAGGGCCCATGGATTTGTAAGAATTGTTATGTAATTAATTTAACATGTATTTGAGTTTTAAAAAGTCTTAGTGAAGACAGGATTGACTTGCACGAAATACATAGCACAATTATTATTATTATAAGTTATACAACCCATTTAAGCTTCTCCTTAGATCTGGTCCGATAATCAAACCACATTTTAAAATCTCATAAACTCTTCACCTTCAGCGCTTTAGATTTGCAAGAGGCTGGTATTATGTGGTGTAGCTTACATATAAGAAACAAAATCAAAGTAAATATACTTATTTTCAAGTAGGATATATATTTTTTTTTTTTCTTTACATAAAATTTGCATTTGATTTTACAGTTAGAAAATGATGGTGTTTGTGTTATGGAAGCTAGTGCTATACAGTTCTGTGCTCGTAAAGTCTCGGCCGTCGCAGGTGACATGAGAAAGGCACTAGATGTCTGTCGTCGAGCTGTAGAACTTGTAGAAGCTGAAATAAGAGGTCAACAAATTTTAAAAACATCAGGTAATTGTTTTGTATGGTATGATACTTCTGTACTAAATCTAATCCATCCCCTAACAGTCATCCAGTGTTAGTCTCAAAAAGACTAAAGTACTGTTTTGACAAAATATAATAGTTATGATCATTATGTTTCAGTGTGTAGCAGTCCAAAGAAAGGCAGTCATACTGACACACTGAAAAAAATTGGTGTGATGCAGATATCTCGAGTAATATCAGAAGTATATGGTACTGGTGTTAAAACCTCATCTACAAAAGAAGAAACAGTCCCACTGCAACAAAAACTAGTCACATGTTCCTTGTTATTGATGTTAAAGTCGGGAAAAAGTAAAGAAGTTAATTTAGGAAAGGTTTGTTACTTTTTTGAAACATTAAAAATTTCTCAATTATTTAAATTTGTCCTATGGTTAGAATTTTCAGTTAAAGATATGTTTCAATGACAGTTGAGAGCATGGGTTCCACGTCGGCCATATATGCCGGTCAGGACCTAGGGCTATGGAAAATGACTGTAACTAGAGCTGACCAAACGGTCATTTTGCATGCCGGAAAGAGAGACTTTTTTTTTTCATAACCCAATTTTCAAACATGGCTACGATCGACCTCCACTCTGTAACTATACAATTGTACGGCCAGTACAGAATAATCCACACTATAGAAGCCACATAATCTTGTGATTGGTGTTATAGAGTTGTATACAGTCAACAGATTATACTGAGCATTGTGTTGATAATTAATGATGAGTGTCTGGTAGTAGAACAATAAAAGTTAATTTATATGTGGGAATCTAATCAATGGCGTGAAGCAGTCCATTGTTAATCATTCACGTATTGTCCATGCTAGTACGGTCAAGCACGATGTAAACGTGGGTTATTATGATCTTCGAAAAAGAGCAATTGATAATAAGTACTGCTCTTCAAATCCAATCAATTGTCATATCAAATAAAAACAGCATAGAAATTACTTAAATCTTCAACAACGTATGTGTTAGGAGAAAAATGCATTTATAATTTTTTATAGCGGTATTACAGCCTTGTGGGAATTGTAGAAATAAAATTTAGAGATAAGTTAACTTGCTTACCGAAAAATTAAGAAAATTACGTATTCCAGTTCTATTGTGCAGCATTATTGATAATTCCACGTGTGGCAAAAATGTTGTGTATATACGGTTACTACACGACGATATTCTAGTGGGCGCTAGTGTCGCTAGCTGTGAAGTTAGTTATCCGTTGGTCATAGTTATACATTATTAGGATTTACGTCACAATTCTGCGGCTCATAATCCCGTAAGAGATCTTCAACAACGTATGTGTTAGGAGAAAAATGCATTTATAATTTTTTATAGCGGTATTACAGCCTTGTGGGAATTGTAGAAATAAAATTTAGAGATAAGTTAACTTGCTTACCGAAAAATTAAGAAAATTACGTATTCCAGTTCTATTGTGCAGCATTATTGATAATTCCACGTGTGGCAAAAATGTTGTGTATATACGGTTACTACACGACGATATTCTAGTGGGCGCTAGTGTCGCTAGCTGTGAAGTTAGTTATCCGTTGGTCATAGTTATACATTATTAGGATTTACGTCACAATTCTGCGGCTCATAATCCCGTAAGAGATGGTCTAAAACCAATAAATGTGAGATATATGCCGTGGATAATTATATATGTATCTTCATTTCAAAGTTATTGTATTACAACTCAAAATTATCCAGTGTGTTTTCTATAGAGCATGTGGTAATTACATGTACGTGTGAGCTACTAAAATGGTTTCTCTACGGCCAATTCAGCTATTTCGTTATTTAAGTAGCCAAAACGAAATATTTAATTAATTATCATAAGCCTTACTAATATTTCACGTGAATTCACAATACCCTACCATGAATAAAAAACATGAAATATGAAATTACTTTGAAAAGTTTTCTCGGGTTATCAAAAATGACCGGCAATGAAAATTTTGAAGTGGAAGCCCTGGTTGAGAGCCTTATTACACAACAATTGACTGAAAAATATATGCTAACTAAAAACAAGTTATAAACAGGGAAACACTATTCAAATTTTAATATACAATTATTACGAAGATTGTGTGTAGCTTTATACTAATCAGTTTCAGTCTATCAAAATCAAAATGTCATACTTCCAGTTAAATATTTCAGGTTGAACTAGATTATTTTGTTCTATATCTAGAGGGAACATATCTTTACTGTTAAAATTGAAGACTTTTGAATTTTACCATGGTATTTTAATTATGCAAGTAATTTTCATGTCTACAAGAAAAATAGGTATACATGTAGCTATTGAATATTGATTAATTCTTTTGTTACGGTTACTTATTAATAAATTATCAAGCTAATCGACAAAGGGAAAGAATGGCAAAATGTAGACAGTTTTATAGATTGGGAAAAAAAAAATGTTCCCTCGATTTTTAATAATAGGTTAACAGAAAACATAATATTTAAATATGCATTATGTAAGAGCTAAGTCTGCCTATTGCAGGTCTCTTTTCTAGCTTAAAATGTTATAAATTATTATTTAGACATTGACATGAAATATTCAATTATTTCTCATTATATATTTTTGAACTTATTTTTTATAGCAAGAACGTCCAGCTCTTTATCTAAATCTTACATAATGCATCTTTAATTATAATTATTAACAATACTGTCTGTGCAGATAATACTAGTGCAAGATGGTGAGACTAATGTCCAAAAATATATAGATGACTCGTTATATTCACATTTATACTTTTATAAAGGTTTGAGCAATCTAATTGTTTACTACCTGCGTAAAATGACCATTATCAATCTTAAATGTATTGATGTAATGAAACTTTACACCGAGTTTCATCACTCCCTACTATTGTGTCCCAAAGTTTTGATGCATTAAATTGCTTATCTCTGCTTACTTAAAACAGAAACGCTCATCAAACTGAGTCAGAGTTGCCTTTGTTTCCCATTAATATTTCCTTTCCTTTATAGTTGCATGAAACTTATGGAAAGCTTTGTAAAAAGCGTCAGATGGCACCAGTGGACCAATCAGAATTCTTCAGTTTATGTACATTATTAGAAGCTAGAGGTATTATGGGACTAAAAAAGGCTAAAGAATCAAGACTAGCTAAGGTATAATTGAATTTATGTTTTCTATTGGATGCATTAATTTGGACACCATAGTCGGCATTCCTCAGTTTTATTCCATTATGTCAAATGATGAAGAGTTGGTGGCTACATCACCGTAGTTACATGTACTTTGCTCGCTAACACAAGGGGTCTAAGGTTTACTCCCTGTGTTGGCCGAGTAAGTTCCTCAGGATTTTCCAGCATGAGTTCTCCTTGGCGGTTGTACATGACAGAGGGTATGTTAAGAAACAGTGTCTAGCTTAGATCTTGTGACACCATTAATCCTTACAACAGAAACCATGACAATGAATTAATTGACTATACTGTCAACATATAGTATATTGTGATAAAAGCGAAATAGCTATGACATCAGGTGACAATATGGAATCATTAAGCAAGTTGTCTAAACATGGTGGCTATTCCTATATTATTTCACAGAAATGGCCAATTGATCATTCCTGACTCAACTGAGTTTATTTAATTTGTTTATTTTGCATTTTCAGATCAGTTTGAAACTTGATGAAAAGGAGATAGAACATGCTTTACAGGATAAAGTTTTAATTACTACCATTTTACAGGAGGGATTACAATGACTGATCTGAATTGTTATTCCCTTAAAAACTATAATATTGTGAAAGTTGAATGTATACAAGGAATTTCTGTTCAATATCTTTGAAGATATGATATATTGAAAATATTTCATCTCATTCTACAGACAATATAAACATGATCAAAACAACAGGATGCCAGCTATAATCTTTGTGAAAAACTTTTTATGGCATCTTTTTAGTCCGATTGAATTGATGCCAGGTGATTATCAACTATTAATGTTTGATTTGTTTTCTTATTGAAATGATCAATTTGAGAAATGTTTTTGTGGATTTAGCTGTAAAAAAAAAAAAAAAATATTTTCTGAAAAATCAAAATGACGACCTGCAGCTTGAATTGCTCATGTACATTGGTTATGATTAATGTGTTTAATTAAGGTACTTAATACAGCCACAGAATGTCTTTTGAACCAAAGTATTATAAAAACATTTTTTAAAAAATGGCATGATCTCAAATTTTCACAGATTGTCATTAAAGGGATAAGATAAACATGACTCATATTAGATTGCTGTCAACTACTTGTGAGAAGTCCTTGACAAGAAACTGTATTCCAAGTTGGGTTTAAATCTTTACTACTAGTACTTTGTTGTACAATACTACATTGTCTGTAGATTTAGAAGTAAATTGATGTCTGGCCAGTCAATATAATTCAAGTTTTATCTTGCCATAGTGTGAAATATTTATCACATCTATAGCTGACTCCCAGACTTCAATGTTTACATCTGATAAATTGGACAATAATTTTAAATATGGCTATGCAGTTAATATCAAACACCATTTGAATAGAAGTTTTTAATCCTTATCTTATATTTCAATATTTTATTCATCTGTATCTCATTAGAATCATTACTTGATTTGATTTGGGTAGTAATAATTATATTACAATAAATTCAAAAAATATATCTTAGTTTGGAAGATAACAATTGTCAGTAATTGATGAGATGATAGGAATGTCTGCTCCTCTTCAACTGAATATAATTTAGTAATCTATATTGGAAGTATCGGTAAGCAGATAGTTTTCATAATCATTAGATCAATACTATTGTGGGATAAAATTTAGGGCCAAATAGTTTGTCTGATTTCCTCAAAGGATGCTTGCTTCTAATTTATCTATTTAAGTCAAATGTATATTTTAAATTATTTCATGTATAGGTATTTAAAAATATTTATTTTTTAAACCCCTATTATACAAACATATAACTGCTGTTTATTGTTATACTTGAACATCTATATAGGATGTTAAACCTCATTATATTTCGTTATCTTTGAACCCACCATTATTTCGATCTTTTGCAAGTCTGTAAAACATCAACAAAAGCCTTTTATTTTCTGTGTCAGGAACACATGCTTTAACAATCAATCAGTAAAAACAAGATTAACCAGTACCACAAATATTGTTGTTTAAAAAAAAGCTGGTTCAACAATAAATGTTCATAAAAACCACCCTAATTACGGAAGTTTGTCAATGGTCATGATCTTGGTGATCAAATAAGATACACTGCATATGTCATTAACTGTTACTTGCTGTGATTATGCATGTAAGGTATCCCTTTACCGTACATAGTGATTGAATTACATGTACCAAATTACATGCAATTTGGATTAATATTTTATCAGAAGCTGGATATTGGTTATATATTAATTATGTTGACAGTTCAATAGTTTATTTAAAAAAAAATAGATAATCACATAGAAGAAATCCATTATCTACATTGCTGCAAAAGATATCTTTATTGGAAAAAAAATAGTTCTATACATGTAGGCCCACATTAGAAATGTGGTATTTGATCAATTTGTAGACTTTGCTGCTGTAGATATGTTTACTGACTGGCCAACATTAAATAGATTTATTGAAGTTTGTGGGAAATGTCCATCTGGCTTGTTAGTCTTAAAACCAAAACCTCTGGGAGACATCCTTGTAATTATGTGTAAAATGATTTATGATTATAAATAAAATGTTAAAAAAAAAATATATATTTTAAAAAATGCAAGAAATAATAGTGTAGATTTGTTAACTCTTCCATTGATTGTAAATTTTATGTTTGAAATAAAATTGTTTTTTTTTATATATAAAAAAGTTATCAAATCTTTCATTCAGATCTGACAGTCGCAAATATGCCCAAATGAAAATCATTGAAGAACATTGTAACGAAAGACAAATAGATACACAAACACACAGCTGTCTCAGAAAGGAGGAGTGATTGACATCAACTTGGATATTAAGCACCCTGTAAAGGTCTGAGACCTTCTAGTCACTCTGGTGCACATTGGACCTTCCGTTTTGGAGTTGTGGACCCTGCATTTTATAGTTATGGTATAATGACGCTTGCAAATCCGCACTAAAAGAGCGTGATCGTATCCTGAGACGATTAAAGAACCATCCTTCCATGGAGAATATTGCGGCATACCAAATGGTCTTCATGGCAAGGTTACGTCTCGATCAATTCCCGTACCACATCCAAATCAGTATGGGATAGGATTAAAGGTAACAGTAGTGCATTATCAGTAATGTATAGACGTTCCATGTACCTTATCTTTCCCGCCTCTTTCCGTTTCAGCGGGAGAAATGTGAGTTGCGAGGATGCAAAGAGAATACAGTGGACGTTTAACGGATAACGGACATGGAACGTTTGGTGCTCGTATATGTCGCGCATTTACATCGTACATGGCAGAAAGTTTATCCGTTATAAAAGTTTTGTGCAGCTCAAAACTTTTTGCGCGGATGAAATCAAAGTGAACGGATGCTCGATAGATAGAGCGTATGAAACACGTATGCAATGAGTACACAACGGATGTATGGCTTTTTCAAACGGAGGGCACGTTTTTTTTCCCGTTTTACAGTGGGACCGGGCCTTAACCATCTAAATGTTGATAATACCACCTTAACAACATTTCCTGATATTGCTAATTCTCTGGCCAGTACATTTTCGTTCAATTCATCATCCAATTTCTCCTGTGACGCCTTTCGAGGCATTAAACAACAAAAGGAGAAAAGGCGACTTAATTTCAAGTCCCGCAATGATGAATGCTACAATGATACTTTTTCCATTGCAGAGCTTCGGGATTCGCTAAAGCCAGCTCGGGACACCGCAACTGGTCCAGATGAAATACACTACCAGATTTTAAAACATTTACCTTTTCCAACACTCCTAATCTTATTGGATCTTTTCAACCGGATTTGTGTTGATGGGAATTTCCCTCCTTCGTGGCATGAAGCTACACTAATTCCCATCCCTAAACCGGGTAAAGATCATACGAATCCTACCAACTATCGTCCGATCGCTTTAACTAGCTGTAGTTGCAAAACCATGGAGAGATTGATCAACCGAAGGCTTGTTTGATACCTTGAGTCCAACAACCTCATTACAGACCTCCAATGTGGATTTCGGTCCCAAAGGAGCACCCTTGATCATCTGAAACGTTCGTCAGGGACGTTTTCATTCAGAAGCAACATTTAGTTGTAATATTCTTCGATCTGGAGAAAGCTTATGATACTACATGGAAACATGGTACGAAGCGCGACATCCATGACCTCGGCCTACGAGGTCGCTTACCCATCTTCAATATTCACTGACCCATTTCCTCAGGAAATGGGGGGGGGGGGGGTCCTCAGAGAACTATTTTATCATCAACTCTTTTTGCAATAAAAATTAATTCCATCCCAGCGTGTCTTAAACCAGTTACAAACGGCGCTCTTTATGTTGATGACTTTCAGATGTGCTATGGTTCTACAGACATGCGGATAATCGAACGTAAGTTGCAGCTTTGTTTGAGTCCACTTTTCTTGGAGGGTAATCGCCTTCCAGTTGTGGATGAAACCGAATTTCTGGGGTTGATATTTGATAATAAATTATCATTTATCCCCCACATAAAAAACCCGAGAGTCTTATCTCAAAGACCTCGACACCATACACAATCAGGGACTTATTATCAGTTTAGGGGCATTTCGTACATCTCCAGTAGACAGTTTATACGTCGAGGCGCATGAGCCCTCACTGTACAACAGACGTGATAAACTGGTCCTGCAGTATGCTACGAAAATAGCATCTTTACCAAACCACATTTCATTTAAAACCCTATCATGAGCATTTATATCTGCTCAAGACTAAAGTTATTCCACCATTCGGTATTCGCATACAACCCCTTTTGTCTGAGGCTGATATCAGTCTTGGCAGTATTGCGAATACCCCTTTCTTTAGGACTACAGCGTGGGCTATATCTCCTCCAAAGATTGATTTCGATCTTACGCAACATAAAAAGAGAGATACTAGCTCCACGGTTTTCAGGCTCTCTTTCGAGAGCTAAGGTCTAAATATGGTGATTATGCTCCAATTTATACAGATGGTGATCGGATAGCTTCGGCTACCGTGACACCATCCGCCACCATTTCTCTTCGACTTTCACCTGCTGCTTCCATCTTTTCAGCTGAGCTTCAGGCCATTCTTCAAGCTTTGGAATTCATTCAGTCTCCATCGCAATTAAAACACATAATATTTTCTGAATTCTTTGTCCTCTTTACAAGCAATTAATAACAAACAGCTTGATCACCCATTAATAGCAGACATTTATTGTCTGCTATTATCTTACGAATTAATCAGCAAGGACATTGTTCTTTGCTCCCCCCCCCCCCCCGAGTCATATGGATATCAAAGAGAATTATCAAGCAGACTCGGCTGCCAAATCTGCTTTAGATCTTCTCATATCCGAATTTTTAACACCATTCACCGCTTTTAAATCATCTATAAATCAATTTATATTCGACCGCTGGCAAAGGTCTTGGGATCTTGCAGACACAAATAAACTTCATCACATCAAGCCTCTCTTAGGAGACTGGCCAAGCTCCTATCGTATGAGCAGGGAAGATGAAGTTGTCTTGTGTCGCTCTCGCATAGGTCATACTTTTTTAACACATATTTTCCATCTTAAAGCGAAGGCCCCAACCAGAATGTGAACACTGTCATGTTCCTTTGACAGTTAAGCACATTTTGATTGAGTGCAAGCATCTCAAAGATAGAAGATTACGGCATTACCGTTGCCAATCACTTCATCAGTTGTTTTCCCGACTGGGTCTATATTGTAAAGCGATAGATTTTTTAAAAGAGACAAATTTTTATCGAAAATTTTAATTGTATATATCCTGATTTTCTCTTTCATGTTTTAAATATATACTCTTCAAAAAAGTAGGGGATATTGAAATGCAAATACCTATGCAGGTTGCGATATGATAAATAGTCATGGACATTTGACATGCTTTGAGAGTGTGTTCACAGAGGAAGAACTTATCGCCCCAACAGAACTACTGAGCTATACATGCGACACGCAATAGCGTCATACACCCGGGATGGGTTCATTGTCAAATTTGACACATCAAGGAAGAGTTTGCTTTCATATCGGTTCTTGCATAAGATTTACTGTTTAGCGTATCTTTGCTTTGGTGTGTTGCGTTTAATTTGATCGGGAGACGTGTTCGTTGACGTCAACGTCAACCGACAACACTGCAAGAATTGTCCGTGACACTGCAAGAGGAGTGGGTCAGATTGCCCCAAATCGTGATTGAACGGTTGATTAGGAGCATATCACGACGAATTACTGAATATCTGAGGGTTTGTGGAGGAATTGCTCATTATTAAGACAAAAATCAAAAACGTTCATTTTCACTAAATCTATTTATCAAAGCCAGCTAAATTTTGTCAAGGTCGCTGAGATGTAGAAAAGGTTAGGGCACGTGATTGTTGGCGAGATTGTAGGTAGGGGTAAGGGCTAGGTCCAGGGTTAGGATTGGGATTATCGCTAGCCCTGTTTACATCTCGTGACCTTTGACCAAACTTGAAGTTGGTCTTATCAATTAGATCTAACCCCAAGTTTGTAGCAGGTGTCCATACAAGTAAAAATCAAGTGGTCAGACTTTGTACTGATGGGGCATATAGCCACAGCAGCACCTTAAAATACCCCACCCACCCCAACAGAAGGGGTTAAAAATTAGGTCATAAATTAGATGGATGAAACTTTCTAGAAACAAAGGTATCTAAAATTTCTGGACTTTCTCCAAAGTCAGCCGACGCCCAATGTCTCCTCACGGGGCTAATAATATGGTCATCAGTTACATAGCTGAAACTTTCCAGTTTATGTTGAATTTAAGGGAGCTATAGGCCAGTAACGTTTTTGTAGTCATTTGACTAAAAAAAATGGGCGATCATGTTTGATCCGACTCCCTTTTCTATTTTCATCACTTTTACACCGAAAAACTAGCGGTTAGCCGTCCGTACAGGGATTAATCAATTACAGCCCCCCCCCCCCCGCCCCCCACCTGCAAAAAGTTTCAAACTTGATTTAGGTGTTCATTAAGTGAATGCCTTGACTGTTTTGGATCATGCGCATTTTCCACTAAGGCTAAGCGGAGATAAGCAATTTGATTGGTTGAGACGTTGGAAAACAATAAAATTGGTTCTAATTGAGTGAGAGTGATGAAACCCAGAGTATAGATTCAACTAAATCTATTTGTTAAGGCCATATCAATTTTCGTCAAGGTCGCTGAGATGTAAATAAGGTTAGTGGACGTGACTTTAGGTCAGGGTCAGGGTAAGCATTAGGGCTAGGTCCAGGTTAGGGTCAGAATTAGCACTAGCCCTGTTTACATCTCGTGACCTTTGACCAAACTTGAAGTTGGCCTTATCAAATATATCTAACCGTATAGAATCATTATATCAATACCTTGAATAAGTCCAATGATGAGTATTTTCTCCTTACGCCAAGTAGCGATAAGCAATTTGATTGGTAAGACTTTGAAACATAACAACTCTGATTTTAATTGAGGTAGAATGTTTAAACTGGGTATAGATTTCAATGGGTGAATGATTAACATTTTCCGCTAAAGCTAAGCAGAAATAAGCTATTTGGGGCAAGATAACTTTGTTTCTAACCTATGGAGTTTCACTACCAGGTACTTCAAAACCTTGACCGAGTTCGACCGAGCACATTGTCTGCGTAGACTAAATACATGTATAGATAACCA